AATTCAGTAAAGTTGCAGGATAAAAAATCAGTACACAAAAATTGTTTCATTTAAATACACTAATAATGACTTATCAGAAATTCAGAGAATAATCTCATTGACAATTTCATTAAAAATAAAGTATCTAGGAATAAATTTAACCAAGAAAGTAAAAGATCTATATGTTGAGAACTATAAGACATTGATGAAAGAAATTAAAGACAAAAGATACTCAATGCTTATGGACTAGAAGAGTTAATATTGTTAAAATGTCCATACTATTCAAAGGAATATACAGATTTAATTCAATCCCTATCAAAATTCCAAAGGGGGAAGGTGTTTTTCACAGAAATAGAACAGACAATCCTAAATTTTGCAGAAGCACAAAAGACCCCACATAGCCAAAGCAATCTTGATAAAGAACAAAGCTGGATGCATCACAATCTCTGATTTCAAAATATATTATAGAGCTATGGTAATTAAAACAGTATTGGCATAAAAACAGACACATAAGTCAACAGAACACACTCGGGAACTCAGAAATAAATCCATACATACCTGGTCATTAATTGATGACAAAGGAGCCATGAATATACAGATGGGGAAAAGACAGTCTCTTTAATAAATGGTGTTGGGAAAATTGGACATCCATAAACAAAACAATAACACTTGATCACTTATCATACACCATACACAAAAAATAAACTCAAAATAGATTAGAGACTTGAACATAAGCCCTGAAACCATGAAACTCCTAGAAGAAAACTTGGGCAGTAAACTCCTTGACATAGGTCTTGGTGATGATTTTTGAATCTGATACCAGAAGCATGAGTTGGGAGATCAGTCTTGAAAGTTTCAGTGCAGCAAAGGATTACATCACCAAAACGAAAAGACAACCTACTGAATGGGAGAAAGCAATTGCAAATCATGTATTTGATAAGAGACTAATCAAAATATACAAAGAATTTGTACAATTCAATAGCTTAAAAAAATAAAATCCAATGAAGAAATGGGCAGAAGACCTTTTTCTATTTTTTTTTTCTTTTAGAGTTTATGTTTAAAGTAACCTCTATACCCAACAGGGAGCTAAAACTTAGACTCCTGAGACAAGAGTCACATATTCTACCAACTGAGCCAGTCAGGTGCCCCTGAATAGACCTTTTCAAAAGAAGACACATGCATGGCCAACAGGTACATGAAAAGATGTTGAATGTCAATAATCAGGGAAATGCAAATCAAAACTGTATTATACGTTTTCATACTGCATCATTCTTTTCAAAAATGTCTTCACAAGATAACACCTTAGTGAAAGTATTGGTTTAGAGGAGCAGTAATGTGGAGAATAAAATCTTTCCCTTTCATCACACTGCTCTTTGAGCCACAAAAATGCTGAGTTTACATATCAAAGAATCTGTGACAGAAGGTAGTTTCATTCATTCATATACATATACAGATCATATTGTTGAATACCTTTTTTTAGTGGTACAGACCTTGTCAAATGTTAAAGGACATTTGGTTTATCCAGATTACTAACTTCTTGCCATTAACATCCTATTGAATCCTTATTATGTGTCAGGTTGTGACTTAAAAAAAAAAAAAAAAGATTTATTAGAGAGGCAAGTTGGGGGCAGAGGGGGAGAAGGACAGAATCTCAAGCAGATGCCCTTCTCCCCAGCGAGGAGTCCCTCAGTGGGTTGGAGGGGGGAGGATTGAATATCACCATCCTGAGATCATGACCTGAGCCAAAATCAAGAGTGGAACCCTTAACTGACTGAGCCACCCAAGCACCCCCCAGGCTATGAATTTCTTATGTTGATGTTCCATCCATGTTGAATGAATGAATGGGCAAAAGTTTTCCTTCCTACATTTTGATGCATGCCTGTTCCTCTTTAAAATTCTCTTCTAATTCCTATCTTGATTGTCTCAGCACAGACTGATCATTGCAGTAATTAAAATTTAGTTTCCCTCTATAGGATAGGGAAACCCCAAATAATAGTGATGTAAAATGGAAGTTTAGTTTTCTTCACATGAAAGAAGTCTGTAAGCAGGCAATCAAGTGTATGTGGAATGGAAGGTTTGCTTCATGGAGTCTTGGGGTACCCTGGCTCCTTACGGCTATTGCTCTGGGTGGCTGATAAAGTTTTACTGAGCAACTCCTCAAGCCTTGATCCAGATGGCAGGAAGGAGCAAGATAAAGAGAGGATGGAGCCCCTTCCATTTTAAGGAGACTCCCTAAAAGTAACTTTTAAAGGTCTGATATGTGTCTTCTTGGCCAGACTTAATCTTAAAACTACATTTTGCTACAAAGGAGTCTGGGGAATATAGTTTTTCACCTGGAGAATAATGTGCCTAGTAAAACAAAAAACAGCAAAACAAAGTGAAAACCAAAAATGAAGCAAAATGACCCCCCCATCCCCCCAGGATTCTGTTGTTAGAGAAGGTGTCCTGTGGCAGTTACTGGTCTCTGCCACAGTCACTCATTCACAGTGATGCTGTCTAAAGGAGCATCCTGGATTCCCTTTATCTCTCAAGTGATTTTGCCAATTCTCAAGCCTCTTGTCATCACTGTCTTGTTTATGCCTACTCCTGCTTGCCCTTTCCAGAAGTGGTGGGAAAGTCCTGAATCAGAGATGGACCTGATGTCATCTAATTGCTAGTGAACTCCAAATGAATCTGTAGTTTTAAAATTATGGACTGTCACCTTCTGTAATCCACTTCTTACAGTGATTGTCTTAAAATGGTTCACATTGTACTCTAATTTCGTACTCTCACTTTGGTTTTGATTTTACAAATAAATCAACCATACTCCGCCTCTGCCTCGGTTCTCTGTGTCTCTCCATGTCTTCATGTACCTCGATCTTAGTAGGTGCTGGTTTTCATCCCCGCGATGTAAGTCTGAGGAGGGCTGCAAGCTCAGTGGTGCCCCAACAGGAGTGTTTTATGCTCTATAAATGCCTACTAAACGAATGAATGAACCAGCCTCTCTCCCTCTTCTCTTCGGAGTAGAAGATTGTTTCTATATTTAAATAATCTTCTCTCGACTTTGCTGCCATTTCCTCTTCGTTTCTCATAGCTGACTTTTTATTTTTTAAGAAGAGGCACCTCTCCTCCTGGTTTACTAATGCCTTGTTCTCTTCCCTGAGTTGAGGCTCCCTCTGTGACTTTTCAGATTTTGCTTTGAGATTTCCGCCCCCTCATTGGCCTTTTCTGGTTGTTTAGTCTCTGTCACATCTCTAAGAGCACGCTGTGTTATTGATGGCGCATTCTGGGAAATACCGTCTTTGTTCTTTCACCTTTCTGGCTTTTCCTTCTGCATTTCCTTTGTTGATGTGCTTCAGCTCTGTAGTGGTGACTGGGGAGCCAAACAGTACGATGTTGCTTTCCTCCTTTGTTCTTTTGTCTCTGCACTTTGCAGTTTCTCAGGTGCTAGGCTGCTCTTTGACCTTGGCATGGTTACGAAATAGACACAAATTGCTTTTAGTTCTCATTGCTGCATCCCTTTTAAATACTTCCTGGGAGCCTCAAACTCCTCTATTTAAGCAGTACGTCTGAAATCTGGGATGCTGGTCCTTGCCTTGGGTTCCTGTCAGTAGGGCATTGCTTCTGAAACTGTGTGGTGGTTACCTTAATGGTAACGGATAGCAGTTTCCTCTGTGGTGTTTTCCTTGTCTGGAATGCCCCTTCCTTTATTCTTTCCAACTTCTCCTTCTCCTCCTTCTAATTTTTTTTTTTTTAATTTTCCTGTTAAGATCAAGTTCAGCGATCTGCATTTCACAAAGATTTTTAGGGTGACACCAGACCTTATTGACTTTCTGGGCTTTGAATTCCTGCCATATTCATCTGTGTATTACCTGGTCCTCTTCAGATGCTTGTGTCGTATTGTATTGTAGAATAAATCCTCTTTATTATAAATGTTTTACCTCAGATACTCTGTAATCTTATTCCTCTTTGTACTCTCAGTGACTGGTTTATAATCAGCCCTTAAGAATGCATGCTGTGGATGATGGCATCCCCTTTTCATTTCCTTATCTTGTTCCATTTCTAACACTGAGATTGCTTAAAAAATTAATTTTTCTTATCACCAAACACACATCTCTCTTCCATAAATGAAATGGAATGCTTGGACTGAGCTGAATGACAGGTTTTCAACAGCCTGATTGCATTTTACATTGCACTATTTTTAGTACATTATAAAGGGCTTGGAATGACTGTTGGAGAAGTAACTTTTCTGTCTTTTGAGTGTCTCCATCTCTTGAGTGTCATCTAAAAACTTGGAGTAAAAGAGTCATGAAAAGAGCTAGTGGGATTCTGTGCATACACAGAGTTTTGTATGGGGCAAGGGGGAGAGAGAGACCGGGTAGGAGACAGAAAATGAATAAATGAGTGTGAAAACATGTGCCTTCCCGGCCCCACTACTTGGTTAATAATGTCAGGATGATGTTGGACTAGCAGGATAGAAGACTAGTTGTGTCGAAGGGATGGATGTCCCATAATGTTGAGAATTCATTTTAAGACCATTTTTGCTCCTCATCCCCTACAAAAAGAAGCTTACCCAACTGTTTTTATGGTAATTTTTTATTACAAACCACTTTATTATTTTTTTAAAGATTTTTATTTATTCATTTGACAGCAAGAGGGGAACACAAGCAGGGGCAGTGGGAGAGAGAGAAGCAGGCTTCCCACTGATCAGAGAGCCCCACGCGGCGCTCGATCCCAGGACCCTGGGATCATGACCTGAGCCGAAGGCAGATGCTTAACGACTGAGTCACCCAGGCGCCCCAATAAATTGTTTTTATAATCAATACTGCAGCAATATGGTAATGTTAGATAGACATATTGGATAAAGTCAATCTGGTTAAACTATGGTGTCTTTTAAAATTAAAGTATGAGAAATTAGCTGTGGTTGAAATTTAGCTCTGTGGAGATTGAAGATCTGGATTAGTAGAGTGTGATTCCGGGCTCAAATGAGGGGAACAGAGGACTCTGTTCACCTACTTATTTAACTTTTTTTATTTCCGTAGGGAAGTTGAAATACTGCCTTGTGGTTCTGAATCAGCCTCTGGACAAATGTGTTCGTCATCTTTGGAGCAAAGGTAATCTTAATTAGCATTTATATCTCTACTTTCTAATCTGTTTAGGACTAATATGACTATTAAATATTCCAGAATCTAACTACAATACCAAAAAGTGGAACTTATAACTAAGTGATATAATTACTAAGAATGGATCTTTTCTGTTAGCAGTGTCTATGGGGAGTTTCCACAGGATGCACCCCCAAGGACAGAATGACAATGTAGCATCACCACGCTATATTTCACATATTATGTGGATATTAATCCTGAATGCTCACCAAATGTTTGTTAAGTGTAAATAGTTTTGGCACCAGCAACGGTAAAAAGCATCCTCAAGCCTAACTCATCCCAGCATTCAGCAATAAGATATCTGCTGGGTAACCACATTTGCAGGAAAAAAAAAAAAAGAAAAGAAAAAAGCCAAATAGTATATTAGGATCTCAAGGGATGCTGAAAAATATAAACGTGCAGGAGTTTTGCAGAATTAATACTTCTGTGAGTTTTCCTATAAGAAACAGACTTTACTATTTTTTACATTATTCTTTGATTTTTTTTTTAAGATTTTATTTATTTATTTGACAGAGATCACAAGTAGGCAGAGAGGCAGGCAGAGAGAGAGAGGAAGGGAAGCAGGCTCCCCGCTGAGCAGAGAGCCTGATGCGGGGCTCGATCCCAGGACCCTGGGATCATGACCTGAGCCGAAGGCAGAGGCTTTAACCCACTGAGCCACCCAGGCGCCCCTATTCTTTGATTTTTTTATAGCATTAACTCTAAGTGAGAAAACAGTATTAAATATCATTTACCATTTTGAACCTCTGCTTTTCCATGAAATCTTGAGCTTTTTTCAAAGGTATACTTCTGCTAAGGTTAGCAATGTAAATTTTGAGCCAAACTAGATCAGCAGAAGAATATGATTCTTGATGTATTGATGTGTATTCTAGATGATTCTCCTATTGCAGAATTCTTTTGTATCTTCAGCATCAAGTCTGTGTGTCCTAGAATCCACACCTGTCATGTCGATAAGCTCACATATGTGGACAGGGGTAGTTGTGATAAGGAGAGGGAATAGATCATTATGAATGATTTTGTATAATGAATTTTTCTTGTCTTATGTGATTACCATGAAAACGCTTTATTCTAAATTTAGCTATCTTTATGTTAGCCAGCTGAAAATGTCACATTATTATTGCACTAAAAGTTGGAAGGCTATTTAACCAGTAACTTCACTTTCCTAGAACCTCTCACTTGCTTATAATTAGGTGGTTATTCAGGTGCCATCAGAAAGGTCTTTATGTTGTCACGTCAGTGCCTAGTGCTGTGTCTGGCACATAATTGCTTAGTAATTACAACCAGTGAAAGAATGAATTTAATTTGGTTCATATTGCTAATAAATACCAAAGTAAACTGATCAAGCACATTCTTTTGATCTGAACTTACCAGGTTTTCTTGTATTTTTAGGAAAGTGTGAACAGTTGTGTTTTATTTTACACTTCCTTAAAATAGACAAAATAATCATTAATAGCAACTGCTGGAAACTTGGGTAGGGAAAACTACATCTAGGAAGTCTCCTTTTGGAGGGTGAAGGATCCTGTTTTGTTCGTGGTATGAAATGGTCTAGATTTTTGAGCTGACAGATGCTTCTGATGACATTAGTTTCCTGCAGTGAATTGGATTAGAAAAAGTTTCATGCCTGACATACACTAAGTATTTAGTTGATATGCATGAAAAATGAACGCTGGGTCAGTCTATATACATGGAGAGAACTAAAGATATCTAATGTGACATGGACTACAGTGGTTAGATAATGCTCATTTCCAAAATAACTTTTCTTTAGATTATTGAAATATACTTTCCTATATATGTCCAGGATGATTCTTGGCTCTCTGGAGCAATTAACCTTTACAAAAAGTGGGTCTGTTCATAAGTACTGTGGAAAGGTAGAATAGGTTTTTTTGTGATTCTCAAAACAGAAGCCGTGATTTTTTTGTTTGTAGTGTCCCGTTTTGTGTTGCTCTTCTTCCAAATAAAACTTAAAAAAGGAAAAAAAAAAAAAAGGTATTGGGTGCGTGAGTGGCTCACTCGGTTGAGTATCCAACTGCTGGCTTTGACTAGGGCCATGATCTCAGGGTTGTGAGATTGAGCCCGGCATGAGGCTCCTCACTCAGAGGGAGTCTGTTTAAGATTCTCTGTCTGTCTCCCTCTGGCCCTCCCCTCGTGTGTATGCATGCACACTGTCCCTCTAAAATAAATCTTTTAAAGAAACTGGGTACTGAGGAGGGCACTTGTTATGATGAGCCCTGGGTGTTGTATGAATCACTGAATTCTACTCCTGAAACCAATATGGTACTGTATGTTAACTAACTGGAATTTAAATAAAAATTTGAAAAGAGAAAACAAAAACAAATACCAAACGAATAAAAGTAAAAAAAGAAAAACAAAGAGATTTGGAGCTTGAGCTGCTGATGTTAACAGAAGAGAGAGGCCTAGAAAAAATAGAGGGCAGCCTTGAGGGCCTGGGAGGGAAGGCGGTGTGGCAGTTTGGGATTTCAGCACTTATAAGGGCTGGGAGCAGGCTTGCCCGCTACTCTGGCTTGTATGCGTGACTTTTTCTGTAACTTTCTGTAGCAAGTCTGAGGATTTGTGAAGAACAGAAATCAAGGGGTGAAATCCAGACTATTGTATCAAAACAAAGACAAAATTTAGAGGCTGCTGCTCAGTGTCCATCTTTTATATAAAATCATAATTTAACTTTCATCTATGCTAAGGACTTCTGGCAAGTAGGGATTTCCTGAGATTCCTTTAAGGGGAAAGACTGTTTTGTAGGTTTATTTATTTTGCCCTGCAATGTTTTTATGACATGTAATTTATTTTAAATGACTGAAGAAGGGATTCAAGGAGATTTAACGTAGAGATGTTTTTAAATGTATTTTCTCTTTAATACTTCGTGAAGTTTCAGTGTTTTTCTTGGTTATAGGTCTTGGTCATTTTAATCCCTACCTGTCCCAGCAGTTTGTATACTTGATTTAATCTGGAGCTATAAGTACAGAGATAGGTGGATAGATGAAAAGGCAGATAGAACTGTAGGTAGTATCTAACTTTTCTGTAACTATCAGAGGTTATTGGCATTTGTGAATGGATATTGCCCTCAGATTTCTTAACTTTTTCTTTTTCTTTTTTTTTTTTTTTTGAGTCAGACTTTCTCTTCCAATAAATGTGTTTCTCATCCTGAGATATCTGGTAAGTGAAGAAAAATAGGGAAGTCTGTGTTTGAAGGATTCTGCTTATTTCTTTTGTAGATCAGTTATTCTCCACTTGGGGGCACCATACTTGTCAGGGTCTCCAAAGGTAGTAAGAGAGATCTGAGTTACATTAAAAAGAAATCTGATATTCACTTACCTGGGATGAGGTTTTAGATGGACCATATATCAGATTCCTAGGAGTTTGCCTTATTAAAGTGTATCTTCATTTTTAATGTGAGTTCACAGCTTTTCTCTGTCTTTTCCATTTGAGGCATAGAACATGGTGACCAGGTGAATTAGATTATGAGGAATCCAATTACAGTGATGCCAGGTACTTATGTACACAGTGACTCTTTTCCTCTAAGAGGAGTTAGTTTTCTTCACTTGCTTGCTCGCTCGCTCTTTCTTTCTTTCTTCCTTCCTTCCTTCCTTCCTTCCTTTCTCAGTTCTCAGCTAACAAACCTTCAGATCATGCCAGGGTATAGGCACTATACTTGGGTTCATTGCTGATGAGGCTTTAAGTTATAAAATCAGGTGGGTCTTTGAGGTTAAAAGGACACCCATAGAGCATACCTGAATCAAAATAGAAACAAGGCCTTTGATTTTATGACATCAGTGTTTTCCCTTCTGTTTCATTGGTAACTGATGCTTGCTGAGGCCATTCCAGGTCAGCCGTTGGGTCCAAAGCTGGGAATCTAATGCCGGGTTCTTAGTTGTGGCTGCAGGTGAGAGAAGGGAGCACAGACACAGGTGCTTCCTCAAGAAGGCAGGTCAGAGGCTTTCGGAGCCACAAGTCCTTAGAATGAACTTACTCATCCTTGTTTCTTAAGTAGCTGAAATTATCATATATTTGGTTGACTTTGACTATACTTTGGTCATGTCTGTATGCCTTTTGGTTTCTTTTTTAAATAAAAACACCTTCCATAAATCAGTTTTCAATAGAATCCTGACTTGCTCTACTAATTAACTGATCTTATGCTAGTAAGTAGTATTGCCATCAGATTTAAGTTTTAAATGATGTAGGAATCTGCTGTGAGGCACCTTGCTTTGGTAGTAGTTTTGTTGTATCTTTCCTTTATAGATTGTGTACACTAGGACTCAATAAGCTTCTTTATACCTATTTATTTGAGGTTAAGCTCAGCCAAAATAGCAAATTTATATATGAGATTCCTTTTCTTTTCTTTTTTTCCTAGCCCCATTTTTCTATTCAGTGGGACCTCTACCTCATTTCTGGTATCCAGTGTGATTATTCTCCTTAAAATAAGAGAAATTGAATACATGCCATTTTTAGGTAGATTGGTTGAATTGGTTTGCTTTAATATAACTTGGTATCCATCACTGTTTTAATCTTATTAAATCTATTTGTATACTTTATCTCTGTTAGAGGGATTTCCAAGGAAACATATTTTCTGATAATTACCTTACAATTTTGAAATCACCTTAATTCTATTCTGACAGCTGATTCTGGAAGGGCGTCTGGAAGGGCGTCTGGTCCATCTTTTTAAAAAGAGTGTGGTTCTACATACACTACATTTTTTTTCTCTCTCTCAGGCCTCCTCTGTCACAGCTATTTTTTCTTACGTGTTTAATGATTGATATGATTAAAAAAATGACATTTGTGGGTGCCTGGGTGGCTCAGTGGGTTAAGCCACTGCCTTCGGCTCAGGTCATGATCTCAGGGTCCTGGGATCGAGTCCCGTATTGGGTTCTCTGCTCGGCAGGGAGCCTGCTTCCCTCTCTCTCTCTCTCTCTTTCTTCCTGCCTCTCTGTCTACTTGTGATC